TTGATACCCCGGATCTTGAAAATATCATAGTAATTTGAAAAAAAAAAAAAGAAAAAAAAAAGTGATGTATTTGCATGGCTGAAATTGGCTACCAATAAAACAAATTAAAGCATTAAGAAACAATCATTTGCATTAAATATGAGAAATGGGCTTGTTTTGTTAAAAGGATCTATTTTAATGTGACAGTGGACTTATTACAGCAAGAATCTATTCCGTTAATTGTGTTAATAAAGTTTTATTTAATAAAATAATTATATTATATATATATTTAATTTACCTTAAATATAATCTGAATTTCTTGGTGAAATTGCAGTGGCCATGGGAGTTTCTCTGACAGCACTACGCTGAATAATGTGATGGGACACTTCCTCCATTCTTCAATTCTTGTACCTTTTCATGGATGGTTAGTTCTTACAAATTAATTAATTTATATTATTAAATATTAATTCTCAATAAATATATAATATATAAATAAATATAAATTAATTTAACTAATTATTTTGATTTAATGTGTATTACAGGCGAATCAGTCACAGGACACACCACCAGAACCACGGCCACGTCGAGAATGACGAGTCATGGGTTCCGGTATGCTTCTTCCACGTCATATTTTTTTTCTGATTTATAATAATAAATTAAATATTAATTATTTTTGAGTCATTTAATTTGACTTTTATTTTAATTTTAATTTCGTTGGATTAATGTTAACTGCAGTTGCCAGAGAAGATATATAAGAAATTGGGCTACTCCACCAAATTCTTGAGATACAAAGTCCCATTCCCCTTGTTTGCCTACCCAATATATTTGGTAAGATTTTATTTATTTATTTAATTAAATCAACCAAGAAAAATGAATATGTAATAAATAATGAATATTTAAATTGGTAAAAAACAGTGGTACAGAAGCCCAGGAAAGAGTGGATCGCACTTCGACCCAAACAGCACTTTGTTTAAGCCGAGCGAGAGGAAAATGGTGATTACGTCGACCACGTGCTGGTTTGTCATGCTCGGTTTTCTCTTGTGTGCTTCCTTCTTTGTGGGCCCACTTTTGGTCTTCAAGCTTTACGGAATTCCCTACTTGGTATTAATAATTAATATTATTATATCGCTCAACATTTCATTTTTTATTTAATTTAATGTAATTAATTAATTAATATAATATGGAGCAGATATTTGTGGCGTGGTTGGATGCGGTTACATATCTGCACCATCACGGTCACGAGAAGAAGCTACCCTGGTACCGCGGCGAGGTATGTATATATATTTAATAATAATAAAATAATAATAAAATAAAATTAAATGTAGATATTTTGTGAAGGGAATAAAAAAGTGAATTGTCTGATGGGGGTTAATAAATAATAAATGAAAATGCAGGAATGGAGCTATTTGAGGGGAGGGCTGACAACTGTGGATCGAGATTATGGGTTGTTTAATAAAATTCATCATGACATTGGGACCCACGTCATTCACCACCTCTTCCCTCAGATTCCGCACTACCACTTGGTGGAGGCGGTGAGCCCCTCTCTCTCTCTCTCTCTCCTCTTTCTCTCTCTAAAACTCTATTCACGTGATCTTTATTAATTTATTTATTATAATAATACAGCTCTATTTTCGAGATCAGTATAGTATAGTAGTTACATTAAATACAAGAGTGTTAGTGGTAGGCGGAGTAGTTGAATATGACTTATGTCAGGGGGGCCGCCGCCCCGAGACTATTTGTCTAATCG